GTTGAAGGCACTGTTCTATTTTTGTCTTCCTCCATGACGATTGCTTGGTAGTCAATACCCTTTTAAACTAATCTTTCCACTCATGAAGTTTTGGGGGCCAAGATCTGAAGACATTTGGCCAATGACTGAGTTCTGGTTTGATTCTCTAAAAGGGATCCTATTCGTCTCAGCATTAATGAACATCGTGGGATCCGGATCGCTCATGGGGCCAAGAAAATGTTGGGTGTTAGCATGAAGGACGAGAATCAAGACTTGGCCTTTAAGGTGTTGAAAAAGTCAGAAAAAAAGCGGGAAACCTTAAGAACTGGGAAAGGGTTTTTACAAGGGAAAATTGATGGTAAAAACAGACTTACTTCGTGAACATTGGAAGTGGTTGGCATCGCTCTGGGTACACCGCAAATCTAAGCAGAACCGGTTGAGAACAAGGGGAGATCGCCATCGGAAGATTGAATCACCGGAGAGATCACCAGAGACGAAGGGGTTTTTATAGCAAGGGGATTTGTGAAGGGCTTGGCTGGAAAAAGAGGATTTTGGAAGCAGTGAGCCTTTGCTTAAAAGCTTAACAGTCAAAGCAGAAACCCTAAATTTTCACAAGATTGCCGAGAGCAAATTCTGCTGCATTATATAATACAGCGGAATTAGGGGGGCATGTGTTAACAGCAGAATTTTGCATCAGATTCGGAGAAGGAAGAAGAAGATAGAAGCGGGTTTGGTGTGAAATCAAGTTTAATTTGGAGTCGGACTACGTATCGGCTGGACATCGTATCGGCTGGAAATAAGATATGAGTTGATGAAGCCGATGGCTGATCCAGCCCATATGGTATGATTTGGGCTCGACATGGGTCTAGATTGAGATAACAGTCATTGACAATTAGAGATAGAGCTAAAATAAGGCAATTGTATCTATTAATTAGGTTAGTTATGTCGGTTTGTTAGAGATTTTGGTAAGAGAACGTGGTATATGGTTTTGTTTGTATTTTATATTTAGAAAGGTTTAAGTCGTGTCCATAATGGACCAAGTTTGTACTCGGGGTATAAATATGAACCCCTTAGCATTGTAATAGGGGAGACAAATACAACTTCGGCGCATCGCCACCCTTTTCATTTTTACTTTTCGACGAGTTCGCTTTGCAAGAGGTAACACGTATCGGTGGCTTGTGCTATCAGGGCTATTATGTCGCTTTAGATGTTTTAGTCCTTTTATCATTGTCATTTGCTATCATATGTCTTAGCTAATCTACTCTTAGTGTCGATTTCAAAAATCAGCAATAAAATTTATAGGGTGCGCTAGATGCAAGAAAGAAATGGTGACCTAGCGATTTATACTGGTTCAGGCGCTCAGGATGAGGTAATACCCTAGTCCAGTTGTTTGGTGGATTCTCTCTGTATTGGGTGTTGAGTGAAGAGAGTGTCCCACCTCCAAAGGGTGCTGCCGATCCCCTTTATATAGCAGCAGGGTGATCGGCGGCAAGGTAGATGTGGTATCCCTCACAATCTGGGTACCTGCCATCCATCAAAATATGGCGGGATAGGTTTCCATTCTCCTATTCCCCATCATTTATAGTAACAGATTACATGGGCCTAGGCCCGTATCTCGCAAAAGATCTAGCCTCCGAGTACCGTTGTGGGCTACCCCGGTACGATAACTCCCACACTTAGTATCTAGATTTACCTTTATCAGCTGGTTCTCGCTTTAGGGTTCTTGCCGGTATCGGCTAAATCTTCCTACTAGATTAGACTAGTTAAGGCATCTACCATCCTGAAAAGTGGTTCTTTACTTGATTGTTTAGACTCTAGGTTTCTTTATCTACTTTGTGGTGCATCATCCCTAGTCTTTTATTGAACCCTAAAAACTAACATGGAAACAATTATAATGAAAGATAGTATCGGAATTTCAGCCGATCTTACCTAATATACATATTTCTTTACTAAGTTTTATTTATATTTGCCACTTATATAGACAGATCACTCCATATAGCTATATCAAGCTAAATCGGTATCGGCTAGGTTATCTAAACTACTAACCGATCATAGTTTGATATATTTATATAGATTGATTTGCCTATATAAGTCCGTACTAGGGCATTAGGTGGTACATTATCCTATTATGCTCTAAATATTGTTCCATCGGCTATTTTCATAATATTGTCTTAAGCTTCTTTATCGAACTTGATAGGCAGTATTATAGCCGATGAGGCATGTTTAGGATCTATTATCCACTAATCTATCCAGTCCATAGCCGATCTTGTCTAACTACATCGGCTGAGACCACCAACGATACGCTATCGGCCAATCGGCTATCGGTTGACTAACTTTGCTTTTGTCTTTCTTACTGATTGCAGGATCAAATCAGCTAGCACGCCCTTGATACACTCGAGACTAGTCTTGGACCTGCACTGGAGTTAAGCAGATCTCCCAGGTTCCCGTGTTTTTACATCAACAGGTTGTAAGAAATATCAACAGTTGGACCCAGCTTAAGGGTTAATCAGTTGTCGAATTTACTGCCATGCACGGGGGCCTGCCCACCCTTGTTTAAGGTGAAGGTGAATCCTCAGCGTGGTGCGCTTAGTTATGGGGAGTTATGACAAGGATCCTATCACAGTTTCTTTATGGTATGTCGTGATGGCATGTCGGCGCACAGAAACATGTCATGGGGTTGTGTCTTGTGGGTATAGTTGTACACCTCTAGTGATGGTAAAACCATTTGAATAGTCGTGCCTACGGTTATGGGTGATCAACTAGCTTCACCGTGATTAGTCTCATCATTAATAATTTAACTTAATGGAACTGGTGTAGTTTAGGTGTGGGCCTATCGCAACGTGGTTTAGCATTGGACAATGATGATTAATATTGCTTAATTTACTACAATAGTTTTTACCGCTTTCAACTGCTTTATGCAAAAGAACTCCTAGCCTCCTTCGAAATCCTTACATCATACATCCTCTTGGTATGACTTGTTGAGTACAATTAATGGGTAGTACTCAGTCTTGCTCTATCTTCCCCACCTCAGAGCTGGACTACTGCTCGGAGGAGTAAGTTTCGTCGCTACCATCTGTGGAGTGGAGTTGTTGCGCTACTAGCATCAGTTGTCCCAAGTTTAGCTAGTTTTTACCTTTCTGCTGCATTTGTAAGACTTTTTATTGTGTTCTATAAGACGCAGATCTATATATCAACTTTGTCGTTTGTGTACCCTGGTCGGTCCTGGACAGGGTTTTAATGCATATTCTGCTTGAAATTTTGGTTCATGAATTTCTGGGCATGACACGGTGGGAGTTGGCTCTTGATGCTCATCTTGGAGCAGGCGGACAACGCAGGCGCCCCTGCGGGCGTGCCAGCATTAGAGGAGGTGGTAACGGATGGTTGCGAGAAGTCGCAAGTGAGGATAACATTTGGTTAGCGAGCCCTCCCCTTCGCCACCAGCATCAGGCCCTGAATCTTTCCACCAAACCTCGGCCCGCCGACTGTTGTTGTAGTCGTCAAATAGGGAAAAGAGGATAGGGGGGAGGACAGGGGAGAAGGATTACATGTTTCATTGACATGTGGATCTCTCCTGCTGATTCAATGAGTCAACCACGGTCATTTTGTCATATTAGCATAAACCTTTTTCCAAACCACCAAAAGAGTCAATTTATACCGGTTTTCGAAGTTAGGGGAGGTGTTATAGTTGGTTTTGCAGTTGAGGAAATCCGGAGTACCAGCTAAGGGAGGCAAAATAGACTTATTTCGTGCATACTTCAGTTAAATCCACATCATGGCCACAATTAGATACTGGCAGACTTGCGAAAACCCTACTCCATCGGTCTCGGTTTAGATTCCAATTAAATCTGATACTCATATTTTTGAACGGAGGAAGCAATTGATAAAATAAAATTTTTGTGGAGCTGTGCTATACCCTGCGCCTAAATAAAAAAGCGAAAGTGTTCTAATGCGCCAATGTACGCTCGTTCATCCACCGCACAAACTCCACAAATTTGTGAAAGCGATGCTACATTAGTCCTCAGAATGGTGCTAATCGGGTGAAATGAACCCCTAGGCAAGCTCCAATCTCCCGAATCAATTCAATTTCAGAATGTGCAACCCAAAATCATGAATACTTTATTCTTGAACCTCAAAACGCCAATGCATTGCTTCTTTGTTTCAGCTTAACATCACATGACTAGCAGCAACACGGTGGTTTCCTACTGTTTGATTCCCTTTGGATCAGGCCCCTGCTGGTCTTGTTTGATTTGCTGGTCTGGGATTCTAGACCTTGACAAATTTGCAAGAGCACTAAGGCTTCGATGCTTCGATGGCTCTGGTTTCGGTGGGAATGCCCAAACAAAACCTTGGGTTGGGACTCCACCGCCATGTGATTCTAATTGAAATGGTCAGAAAGCAGACTTTTGGGATTCTAATTGGATTGGGCATCAACCGCTCAACTACCTCACACCAGCACTCTACAATCACTCCAAGGGGAAGTACAGATCAGTCCATGATGCACTGCTTGGGGAGCAATGGATTCAGGACATCAGACATGACCTCAGCATGGCACTGCTACATGACTTCCTCATTGTTTTCCGTCTGTTATGGGAAAATGCAACGGTTCTATCAAAGGAAACTGAAGACAATTATTTAGAGATGAACGAGCAGCGGCAAATATTCAGCGAAATCTTCTTATTTGGCGCAATTCAGCGGTAGAATTGAATTGAGGGCTGCCTGCTTGATTTGGAAAACATGGGCGCCATCCAAATGCAAGAACTTCACGTGGTTGCTACTACAAAATAGAATCTGGACAGCCAACTGCCTACAGCTCCAACAATGGCCAAACAATTACTTTTGTCAATTGTGCTACAGAAACTTAGAAACGACACAACATCTTTTCAAGGATTGCAATGTCACATGGGACATTTGGGATAAGGTATCCACAAGGCTGGACTGTGATCACATCTCCATGGAACACAACCCAGATGAAACACTTCTTGACTGGTGGGAGAGAAGAACAGAGCAAAATGACAAGGACAAGACAAAAGGAATGCGCTCCATCCACATGCTTCTCAGTTGGAAAATCTGGTGTGAGAGGAACAGAACAAGGAGCTTGCAATTCCACAGTTGACCAAAATTCTTGATGAAATCAATGTATGGATAGCATGTGGGGCAAAAAAAACCTAGCGAGAATAGCGCCATGAGCAGCCCATAGTCCTTCTCTGCCTGCTCCCTGTACTCTGTTTTCATTTTCCATTCCCTTCTTTTCTCCTGCAGCCTTCCTAATGTTGTTCTCTTCTTCCTGCTGCTTTCTCGGTGCTTTTGTACAGTTTCTCCCCTTCTTAATATAAAACCAGCAAAGCTGGCATAGATTAAAAAAAAACATACTATGTCAAGATATACTATCCTATATTCTATGATGGATCTCATCCCATGCTAAGTTACTTTATTCTGGGACGGTTTATTCTGGGACGGAGGGAGTAGTTCCTTACAAGAAATGCAGTACGAGGACAGCGACTGACAGGGTCCAGAACTTCACAGCCAAATATACTATTACACATGCAGAAGGAGCGAGAGAGAAACAGGCAAATGCATGCCATCTGGCCCATCATCTCTAAGTAACATCTGCGATTATATTACACGTGAAGTAGACGAGAGAAATGGCAGAAGCCTGCAGGGATACAAATAGTGGCTTTGCCGGTGGCGAGCTCAGAAGTCCATGGGATCCTATCAGGCTGCCTGTCACCTAAACAAGCCAGCAAGCTAGGCACCGTCATGGAGAATTTCAGGGAGTGGCCACGTTTTCCTTGGCAAGTGGCGCCAGCTCCTCACCCTCGATGCCTGGCTGGCTCCCCTCAACGCCCAACCCAAGAAGAACCTCCTCCCACTTCTTTGCAGGTCCCTGCATCAATAAGAGAGGCTTTAATTCATCCCTTCAGGTAGCTAGCTTTCCTTTTAGATGATCGGCAGATGAAAGGTGATAGCTGATCAACTTGATCATAGAGATAGATTAAATAGTATATATTACAAATTGAACAAATAACTTAAAATTATATATTATAAATTGAACAAATAACTTAAAATAAGTGATCTAACAAATGTAGTTGAAGAAAATTTTATGAGAAAACGTATTTGTAGAAGCATGACGCAGATAATTCGCAGCAATAATCAGGTAGAATGATTGCGTTCATCTTAAGCCTAAGCGAGATAAAATTTTGCAGCATTTGGTGTACTAGTGTCCAGAAGTGTAAAAACGTATTGTCATTAATATTCTTTTAAAAAAAATTACTCACCTTCCAAGATAGGTCTTGAGCCATGCAGTTCTGAACCATTTCTTGGAATGCCGGTGTGTTGTACTGCTTCAGAGCCCGTTTGACAGTTGAAGCAACCGCTGTGACGTCCACTGGATCAACAGTTTCGCACTACAGGATGACATGACAAGGCTAGCATGACGAACTCTTTCCTGATCTTGAGGGCAATCAAAAAGTGGAAACACACTGCTCCTTACCTCGACATTGAACAAACCCATGTGGAATCCGGTCACGCCCTCCTTAACCGTGTCGACAAGTCCTCCAGTAGATGAGCAGATGGGAACCTGTAGTTTGCAACATTGTGAATTTGATTTTCTTTTTGGTGGTATTACCCACAGTGTAGTTTTACTTTGAACTTTTCACCACATTATGATGAATACAAAAATTCAATTATGTTGTATTGCTGTGATTCATAATAACTTCATAGTTCATACTGCAAGCAAGGATATAAAAATTGACTAGTAATATAGTATCAAGGACTGTCTCATTAACTTCACAATTGTGTAATCAGACCTAAAGTGAGAATACTTACCACTCCATATCTCATCCCTTGCAATTGGATGAGACCACATGGCTCAAACCTACTAGGAACAATTATAAAATCAGCCCCAGCAAACATCATATGCGCTAAAGGAACATTAAATTTTGCTATCCCTCTAGCGTTGTTTGGATATTTAACTTCGAGCAGTATCAGTTCCTCCTCCATTTTCTTCTTCCCTGTACCCTGAAGAGCAAGATTAATTCTTACTTACAATTAGCTCATATTATGTAATATTGAATGACTTTTGTCCAAAATATAACATACAAGAACAATTATCTGGACATTCCCCTCCACGAACTCTGGAATGGCTGCAATTAGTATGTCTGACCCTTTCTGCTCTTCAAGACGACCAACAAAAACTATTAAAGGAATGCTCGAGTCCACAGGCAACCCAACTTCAGCTTGTAGCATTTCCTTATTGAGTGCCCTTGCTTCAGTTACCTGATAAATTACATTTGTAAGTACTGAAATCTCCATATATGCTTAAAATGAGAAATCTCAGTCTTACCGTTGTTGCATCGTATTTCACGCTGATGTACTGATCTGTTGCTGGATTCCATTCATAAACATCCATGCCATTGACAATTCCAGTTTCAAGGGGCTTTGTGCGAAGGATGCCATCCAATTCAACACCTTTATCTGGGCCAGAAGCGAGTTCTTTGACATAATGTGGACTAACCGTCATAACCAGATCACATTCAGTGATCCCTGCCTTCATCCAGTTAATCTTTCTACCTACTACAGGTTTAAAATGCCTGCACACATCATAATACATTCCAATGTTAAAGAAACTAGAAGGACATACTTAATCTTTATAGAAATAATTGAAACTTAGGGCCAATACCCATCAATAAAATCAAATGAAGGCAGGAAACTGTCCGGTAGATTAAGAAGTTCAAAGTCTTCTCTGGCAAATCTACCCTGGTAGGCAATATTGTGAATGCAGAAAGCAACCTAGCAGACCACAATAAACCAATTAAAACATGGTACAGAAAATATTTTTGCCTACATACCACCAATTTGGATCACGTGGAGATTATTAGTCTAAAAGTGCATAAGGTGCAAGAGATAGCGAAATGATGTACCTTAGCATTCACATACATTCCTTTTGCCTGATAGATGCTCTTGAGATAGCATGGCAGGACTCCAGTGTGCCAGTCATTTGCAACGAAGACAACATTTTCACCTGATTAACAAATATGAATGTCAGTCAGATAGAATGAGGGAGAAAGACAATTATCTGTGATAGTTTATACTATACAGAAACCAACCATATGGTCCCGAGAAATATTCAGAATTGTTGAGATTGAGAACCCTTGGAGCCTCCAAAGCAGCCTAAAAGGACAATCAGATTAGAAGAAATTGCACAAAAATAATACAAATTAGAAGAAAAAAAACTAATTCCATGCAATTTCTGACAGTCAATGGTAGATTTGCCCAAACCTACAACTGTGATTAGCTGAGCCCACATGCAAATTAAAAAAAAAAGATAAATAGATAGAAAAAGGGACCACTTTAAAAGCTCGTATCAAATTACTGAAACCTGACGTTTATATGACATTTTTTTTTTGACTGGGGACGTTTATATGACATTATCAGATGGAATTTACAGATTCTGTTCTCTTAGTGTATAAATACATATCTCAACTAATGAATGTCTCTGTATAGAACAAAACAATACAATTTGTAGAACTACTTAGTGTAGCCACTTCATGGCTTTGTACATCAAGGCTGAGGCTGTTGCGACACATCTATGCATTTACTTACGAGGCATAAAAGGCAGAACCGCAACTGGTTGTCCCGGTAGTCATCTCCAGTGGTAGGACCGTATAATTTTGGTCCAGTCTTGCCCCATACCTGAAAGTTTTATGATTCAAAGGGTGTACTGAGATACCAAAACTTTTAGAACTTTGCATCACTCAATTAGAACGCAGGTAATTAATGGTTTATCAGACCTTCTCAAGAAACATAGGATGATCAACAAAAACACGGTCAACTCCCCTTTTATAGCAGTGGAAGAAGCGCACTGTTTCTGTCCTGTCACCAATATTGACCTACAGAAGTAAAAAGGAAAAATTAGCATCTACAACATCAGAAAACTGGTATAAGTTAAATCCAGCTAAATACGTACAGCATGGTTAAAAACTTTACCTCGACAAGGACATTTGTATCCCATGCATCTTTGTATTGATCATAACGAGGAACTATTGTCATGACACGATGTCCCATTGCCTATGATAAAATGAGTTTCTTCACACAAGATGAACTGTACATAAAGGGCAAGTGCAATGCAATGTAGGAAAAAACATATGAATGATAAATCCTGCATTAAATATTAGCATGATGTACAAAACTTGTATCTTGTTAACTCAACTTCAACCAGTTATCTCAATGAAACCTAGTTGCATAAGAATGTGCAATCGAACAGGAGCATAAATTGTTTGCAGAATCAGATCAAACCCCTGTGTTTGTGAATATATTTTTTTGCTAGAAACACTGAGGTTTGATCTGACTGTTGGATTTAACAATACGTGACAAAGAATATTTACAGCAAGAGCAGGGGGCAGTCCCCCTAGAACATCACCGAGGCCTCCAGTTTTGCACCATGGGTGACATTCAGTTGCAATAAAAATTATTGTCATTCCAGCAGAGCATACTATAGGCATGTGAGACCTCCTAGGCTTAGTGCAAATTCCAGTGCTTGTTGCTATTCTTTTGGCCATATGTTTGTTAATCCGCACAGAAAGGGTATCCCTCTTTAGGAACCTAACTCCATAGTTGTACGATTGTTGGAATTGCATATGAGGTGATTGCTTTAAAGCGCCAACACCATTTGTTTGGTAAGAGCAGTAGGTAGGTGTTGAACCCATTGTTCTAGCCATTCAGTGACACCTACAAAAATGCCAAATGGTGGTTAGAAGTTCTGCTCTAGAAATAATTCTCGTTTGGAAAAACTTAATAATGTAATGATCTAATCCACAGTGTGCTCATCTAATCCAAGATGTGCTGAATGAAAGGCAACATTATTATACTACCAAAACTTTGAAAATTTAGGACAAAACAAAAATGGTTCCTAGATATTTACTATACTACCAAAATGTTGCACATTGCTATGGAATTAAAAAATCGAATCAGCACATTGCAAAGAGGAAATATATTTTATTTTTAGAGCTTACAAATGGTTTCTAGATATTTACTATACTACCAAAATGTTGCACATTGTTATGGAATTAAAAAATCGAATCAGCACATTGCAAAGCGGAAATATATTTTGATTTTTGGAGCTTACTTTTAGAATTAATTGGAGGTTCACTCCCGTAAAAAAGGATCTAGTTATTATTGGTGTGCAAGGATGAACATGATTGAGAGCTCCAAGGTCTAACCGTGAGTCCGTGACTTCTACTGTTGTACCAGAAAGTGGATAGATGGTGATCCCACATGGTCACATATCAGAATTTTGGGAGTTGGTGATGGCAAATTCATCACTCATCCTATGCGATGGACTTTTACCAACTTTATGAGGGTTTACATCAGAACTTTGACTCCATTAGAGGCAGATACTATTGGGCAGGGAATAAGCAAGGAAGGAAATACCACATGGTTAAGTGGTCTGACCTTGCTTTTCCTAAAGAGTTTGGGGGTCTGGGCCTTACTGAGACTAGGACTTTGAATGCTGCTCTACTAGCCAAATGGATTTTTAAGATTGAATCCTCTGATGAGAGTTTATGTGTGGAATTACTGAGGAGAAAATACTTGATCTTTGGTGGTGTCTTTCAGTGCTCCTCAAAGAGAGTTTCTCAATTTTGGTCAGGAATTCTCAATACAAGAAAGTGGTTTAACTTGGGCTCAGAATGGCAGGTGGGGAATGGCACTCACATCTTCTTTTGGCTGGATATTTGGCAGGGCGACTGCCCTCTGAAGATCATTTTTACTGAGCTATTTATGATCTGCAATCAACAAGAGATTTTGATTGCAGACCTGAAACACTTGGATCTATGGGTCCCATAGAATTGGAACAATGGCGTCAAATTAAGCTGATCATTGAGAACCTGGTCTTGTCCTCTTCCCCTGATACCTTGAGATGGTGTCTAAATTCTAATAAGAAGTATACCACAAAATCCTTGTACAGAGCTATTTTGTTCAGAGGTGCTTTAGATGAGAGATTACAGTTTGTCTGGCGTTGTCCTTGCCCTATGAAGTTGAAACATTTCATTTGGCTAGCCCTGAGAGACAAAATCCAATCTTGTGAGCAATTGAAACTTAAAGGGTCGGTTGGGTCTGAAAATTGCCTGCTCTGTGGCAACAAGGAAACGACTGACCATATCATTTTTGACTGCCCTATGGCCACTTTCGTTTGGTGCATCTGTAGAGGGACGCACTGGGTTGGGATGCTTGTCCTGGAGGTTTTGATGACTTTTTTAGGTTTGTTGGCCAGGTTTCAAAAGTGAGGCTCAGAGTTATGACGGCTCTACTCGCCTCCATTTGCTGGGTTCTTTGGAACACTAGGAATAATATGATTTTCAGGTCAAAGATTGTTTACTCACCTCTGCATCTCTCCTTTCAAATTGTTTCTTATCTTATGCAGTGGAAGGCTTTAGGACGCGCTGATGAGCTAGCAAGTCTGGAGGTGCTGATAGAAAAGCTAAGAATGGTGAACACAAGATTTGGGAATAGAAGAACTGGAATTGGCTGATGTCTCCGTTTTGTGGCTGCTTCTGTTTCTCGTTAGTGTCTGTTTATATACTAAACCTGAAGCTGTCAAGTTGAGTTCTGCTTTAGTAGTCCAGTCAGTCCTTCCTTTACTTTTGTTGAGGCAAAGTCCTCTCTGTGCTGCAAACGCTTATCTGGGATCTCCCAGACCCCCCCCCCCCCCCCGGGCTTTTAATAGAAGCCAGGCCTTTGGCCTTTCTCTAAAAATATAAAAAAAAAATCATCACTCACTACCACCACTACTCCATTTTAAAGGAGTATAGATTTTTTTTTAAGGTTCTAATTTCTTATACCGAGGATGATGACTGGTGTGCAATCAATTTTGGTGCAAAATGAGCAGGGGTGGAAGCCAATTATTCACTTGTCAGAACTCACAACTCGGTCACTTAGTAGCAGCCCACTTTCAACGTCAGTCTCAAGGTTTTGTGGACCTCCTAATAAGGCCCTGTTTAGAATGCAAGAATTTTCCCCGTGATTTATACGAAGTCGTTCAGTTCACATGGAACTGATTAAAAAAAACCAGATTCTAAAAGGGCCTAATACCTTCTTCTTCTATTTCTAGTAATGTCTCCCAAAAACTAACATAAAATTATCGGCAACCGGTCATAGCAAAGTGCTCATAATTTTGAAGTTAATAAATGTACCCAATGAACAGAAAGACATCCTTAGTCCTTCCATTAGAAAAATAAAAATATAAGTTGGGACATGCAAGTGAAAACTATCCATTTACAAGAGTGATAACAAGCAACATACAGTACTAGTACTACATAAGTAAAGTACTGGTGGAGAATGCAACGAGGATATGGGGAACTTCACTTCCTACGTTGTAAGGCCAGTTACAAGAAAACAAAGGGTGAAGTAGCAGATCCTATTAACAATATATATAGCATGGAAAGAAGTAACAAAATTCCACTTAACAGAACATACTCTGAGAGTGCAAATCTGCAAGAAAACATTAAATTCTTGAATCGTTAAACTCCTTCCCCTACTAATCCCCTTTTTTTCACCGAACAAACCCCACATTTCCGTCCCCCCCCCATCACATTGAAAATCTTGTACAAGATCGGACTGGGTGCAGCCGCGCAGGGTACATCTCATTCTGAAGCAAAGGGAAAAGATGAAGAAAACGGCAGTCGCCTTACCTTGTACTAGGTAGGCGGCGGCGGCGGTATATGCGAAAGCCGAACGAGTTCTGCGGCAAGCTACCCACCCGCTGCGGAAGTGGAGGACGGCGAGTCGCGCAGCAGCAATGCTGGAGTAGAAATAGGCGGCGAAGAATAGAGAGGCGCACACCACGGGGGAGAGAGAGAGGAGGAGGAGATCAAAGAGCAGGGAAAAAATCGGGCGCCCGACAGGTGGCGCGCAGGTAGTGGCCGGCTCACAGGCGCCACAGCCCACATGATGGCTGCCTGCCACGGCCACGGCTCACTGCGCCCGCCGCGAGGCGAAGGACGGCGAATATGCCGAGGCGGGATCGCGGGGGAGGGAGGGGTCTCCCGTCCCGACGGCCGACGGGTGGGGCGAGGCGGCACCAGGGCCGTCGGTTGATGGCCCTTATGGGCCCCGCGGCAAAAGTGCGGGGTACTCATGGCTCGCGTCGTGGATCGGAGGGAGCAGCGTGAGCCGTCCGTTCATCGCTCCGCCCGTTAGCGGGCTGGAAGCGACTGATGGGTGCAGCACGTTTTGGAGCGACGTGAGGAAACGACGCCGGACTTGTGTTGTGCTGGGGCCCAAGGTGGGGACGTCTCTCTCGTATACGAGATTTTCTCTACTTCTTGTCCTTGACGCCCCTCGTATCGCAATAAGTGCAGACTATAATGAACCAACACCGGATATCCTAACTCTTTTATTTTAAGGCCTCTGATTTAGTTTAAATTTTTTTTCCAAAAACATCACATCAAATATTTAGACATCTAAATAGTGCACTACATATAGACGAAAAAACAAATTATACAGTTCGCACGAAAATCGCGAGACGAATTTTTGAGCCTAATTAGTCTATGATTAGTCATAAGTGCTACAGTAACCCATATGTGCTAATGATCGATTAATTAGGCGAAATAAATTTGTCTCGCTGTTTCCAGGTGAGCTATGAAATTAGTTTTTTCATTCGTGTTTGAAAACCCCTTTCAACATCCGATTAAACGTTCGATGTGACACCCAAGGCCTAACTTCCTTGACAGTTTTAGAGAGCGATTTCACTAACGTGAAACCTACGTAATAGTGGTGATTTCACGTAGTGCTTATGTGGCATTAAATTTATATATATATATATATATTTATATTTATATTTATATTTATATATGACTCATTTATCATTAAAAAAAATTGTGAGGTCCACTGACATATCGGCATCATTTCTCCTTTCCCTTCTTTCTCCTCCCTCACTCCTGTTTCTCTTTCTCTTTCACTTTCACTTTCAGTCTCTCTCTCCTTCGTCGGTTTGCAGGGGCCGGGAGCTGGACCAATGGCAGCGGAGCCCGAGGGAGTGGTCGGTGGCGGGCTGGAGCGGTGACAGTAGGCGAAAGAGCGGCGATGGAGCAGACGGTGGCCACCATCGTCATCAGCGCCATGACGCATGCTGCAGAGCCGTGGACCGGATCTCTACCGCACCATCACCGTCTCTACCGCCGAAATCATGCTCCGCGACCGCACCTCGTCGCCGCACCACTTGGAGAAGGAAGGAGAGGGAGAGATAAGGGGTCACCGCCACCGCCTTTCTAGTGCCCACCCCCCACCACCACCTGTGCCAGTAAACCGTTGTAGCTGAGATGTGCGCGTCGTTCTTCACCAACCCGCATGTTCCTGAAGCCCAAAGTAGTTCGACGGATGGGGTGGCCTCCCTTTCGTCTTCAACAAGGTTTGCGTCGGCGACTACGGCGCCGCCCACCCCAGCCGAGGCCTTCATCGACATCTTCGCGAGCGAGTGGTGCCGCATGGTGCCATGGTGGAGACGACTGCCGCCGTGGATTTCATCGCTGCAACCTGAGACCACCGCCCAGCCGCCGCACGTGGTCGAATCGGCCTCCGTGTATGCACAACGCAGCAGCAGCAGCAGCTACTCGAGAAAGAAATAGAAGAGGGGAAGAAGAGATGGAGAAGTGGGCTGACAAATAGGCTTCACCTTTTTTTATTTTTACCTTTATTACTTACATGTGGGAGCCACTTCTATTTTTAGTTCCTTCAATGTCTGGGCTGCCACGTCAGCACACTTGTACCAAGTCGACCTGCCACGTCAGCAAAAAAACCGCTTCCCAAACCACTAAAGAAGTCAATTTGTACCGGTTTTTAAAGTTAGGGGAGGTGTTATACCCAGTTTTATGTTTGAGGGATGTAATTCGACCAGAGAGAAGACAAGAGAGGTAAAATAGACTTATTCCTATATACCAGGGACACATGGCTGACGGCCCAAACCATCAGACTCAACCATGGCCCGGCCCAACCAGCCGACAACCACTAGACTTACACGGTACCACCAGGAGTCCAGGAGGGCAGCAGTGTGACGTCGCCGGCCCATTCTCTCCGGGAAAAAGAGGACGAAAAAACCCTAACCAGCCGCCGATTCTAGCGATGGCGTCGCGGGGCGGCGGCGCGCGGCGCACGCGGCCGAACGTGCTGGTGACGGGGACGCCGGGCACGGGGAAGACGACGACGTGCTCACTCCTCGCCGACGCGGTGGACCTCCGCCACATCAACATCGGGGACCTCGTCCGCGAGAAGAGCCTCCATGACGGCTGGGACGAGGAGCTCGAGTGCCACATCATCAACGAGGACCTGGTATTAGCCCGCCCTACCGCGCATCTCTCCCAATCCAATCCAAATCTCTGTTCGATTCTGCATTCCGAACAATCTATATTCATCATTAGCCTTAGATTTTGGATTGTAGTAGATTGAAGTTGTGACGCAGGGTTGGATATGAAGCTGTGAATTTGTTTGCTTTATAATGGCTGAAAATTATAGCGCAAGCAAACTAATTTTATTTGCCAGTGATGAAGGAAAGCATTGGATTACCACAACCAAGTAATCCAGTATGCACAGTTCCTCAGGTACCAAAAAAAGAAAGGGCCTGTGTTTTCTTGTCCTGAAACTATCCTACAAATCAACTGTTCATTACTCGATCAAGAATGCATAAAAGTCGTTCTCATTCTTTCATAAATGTGAATCCAGAGTTGTTCCTCGAGTTTATTTTTGGGTTAAAGAGCCTCAGGAAAATATTCTCAGACACTTAAATATAATTCGAAAACGGGAAGTGCTTGTTTTGTATACATGGTCCCACTCACACTTCTATTAAGTGAGCACTATCTTGTGCTTTTTGAAATAGTGATCATGCCATTCTGGTATTACACTCAAACATAATGAAGGTAATATAGACTGCATTTCTAGTGAAAGGCCTAGTTGTGCAACTTTGATGGAACAGGAGGTCCAAATCCATTAGTTGAGTTGTCTATTCTGTTAATTGATAAAAACTAAGGACTTAGGGATGCCTGCTTTTTTGTCCTATTTTATTTTACTAAAGAAGCATCACTTGCAGTAGTTACTTGAGATGCAGCAGACATACTTGCATGTAAATATGCTGAAGAATCAGCGCATTACAGTATACAGAAGAAAACATGTACATGCAAGAAGAATGAGTATAGGTAGAGCATAAAGAAGTAGCAGCGTGTAATCTGTAAAGCTAGCAATATTACAGGCTGGTATGGTGGTATCTGCCTATCATAATGTTATAAACTGAAGAAGTTGTAGCACTTGGAGCAAAGTTCTCTTGTCTTTCATGATGGTTGTAGACCTAGGATTTCCTTCTATGACTCTACCAATGCTGGTGCTTAGTAGGAAAACACTATAATCTGGGGGAGAACACTTTCCATATAAGTGTCCCCATTCTCCTTTAGCTTGATGTAGTGTCCATGGCTCAAGCCATGGAAAGTTGCTCATTCTCATTGTGTGTGATGTTCCACTGACCTATCCTCCTTGACAGCGGTGTCAGTTTGGACCTGCACCCTGAATTTACAACAACCATAACCTAATAATGGAGTTTATTGTATGATTCCATCTGCTGGCAATTCTAATCGATGGACAGTAATTTTTATTTTGCAATATTGTTTGAACGCTAGCTCTATATGTTAGGGTAGGATTTATGCATCTTGAATTGTAGTGATGTGTATACTCAGTGTTAGCATTCTTGTATTATGTATTACCATGAACTTTTGGTTAGCGACATATTAGATGGCCTGATTATGGGCATTTTTTGCATTTTTATTGGAGTAAACTTTGCAAACTACACATTTGTCCACTGATGTTAAACGCGACAGAATCTAGACTGTGGGGCCTACTTATAAGTGGCCAAAAATATAGTTATGTGAAATGTGTAGTTTTGTGATAGTTTTCTAATGTATTTGTAGTTTTATGATGCGCATTTGCATTTTAGGTGCTTCCTACTACTGCTCTTCAAACAATGTTTTCTAGGTTGTCAGTCCTGTGTAGAAATTATGATTTATAACATTATAAAAGTGTAATTGTAAACGAAAATTATGTTGGCAGTGATTTACCTTTGTTTTTTTTTCTGAACACATTAGATTTGAAGTTGAATTTCTAGATGGAGGTATGCTAAATAAAGAGCTACTTTTCAGCTTTAAAATTTGTTGCGTTGATTGATGCCCAAAAAGGCTAATAATTATAAATCCACAAAGTTGCTAATTTGGGCTATTTATGTCCCTATGTTTGATCAGGGTGTTCTTTTAATATAAGTGTATGATTTATTGATTTAGTTGTTTATGTAAGTTAATCATACTTTATTAAAACAATAAATAACAAATGTTTTTGCATAACTACTCATGTTTTTCACGGATAGGTGGTCCCTAAGCATCTATGTCCTTTTAGAAAAAGCCAATGGTGGTGATGGCAGTGAATTTGCCACTCCCACCAACCCTGCACCATTTTTTTACTAAGAGTCTTTGAAGTTCTTCAATATTACACATTAGTACTAGCACATATTGTTACTTTTTTCAATTTAGTCTCCAGAATAATACTTAAAATGAAAGGCCTAAGATAGCATATATATGTAGTGTAAAGCTAAGTTTTACAATTAAAATTATGTATGTTAAGTGCTCCATGTAACAAAAATATGGAGGCTGTACAATAAAAGAAATATGCATCATTTGTCTTTAGCAATGCAATATGAACAATTTATTTTAATCTTTAGTGAAGCCAGTACAAAATGTTGGACTAGGGAATCAAATCAGTCTGGTGGCTGGTTTGCTAGTTCATGGATTGACCATCAGTTTTTCTTTATCAATAAAATGATTTTCCCTTCTTATTTATATGAAAGCATGTAGGAATTGATTCAGGCTGCTCAATCTGTCTTATGAATTGATTATGTCTGCACCGGCAGAAAGTTGTTCCGAACAAAAACTAGTATGAAGATATCAATATTTTGGATGTTCTGCATCATGCAATTTTGTTTTTTTTTGTTTTGATACTCATTTATATATTAAATATTAATTTTTGGCCGTACAATATGCTGCATACCCCCCAAAAAATAATTCAGCGCTGAACCTCATGTCCTGATTTTCTGGACTAATTACACCTAGTTGTACATATGGATGCTTGTAAATGTCCTGAGAGAGTTTTATTATTGCTTTTTTCTGAGATGTATACAATTAAAATGCCATTGCATTCTCACAATGAACATACGAAAAAAAATCATTAGCATAATGAATTACATGCCCACTGATGTTAACTGAGAAAATCTGACGTCCAGGGTAGTTTTTGGTGATTGGTTATCATCCTATCTGGACCAGTTTGGTCTGCTCCCTTCTGCACTTTTGCTATCCTCACAGATGTGAACTGTGAAGTAAAGGAAGTACATGATTGGTTGTTCCAACTTTGCAAATTGCTTAAGTTGGCTGTATATCATTTCTTTTGTTGGTTAGAATTGCACTGAATGGTTCCTTTTTTGACAGGTTTGCGATGAGCTTGAGGACGTGATGGAAGAAGGTGGTATACTAGTAGATTACCATGGATGTGATTTCTTTCCAGAACGTTGGTTTGACCTTGTAGTTGTGCTCCAAACAGATAACTCAATTCTGCATGATCGCTTGACTAGCAGGTAATTCATGCAGAACTGCACAATCACCCACCTGTTGGAATAGCCATTATGAAATGCTTATTTCTGACTAAGAGTTCTATTCACAGAGGTTATATGGGTGCCAAGCTCACAAACAACATAGAATGTGAAATTTTCCAGATGCTCCTGGAGGAGGCAAGGGAGAGCTACAAAGAGGAGATAGTGATGCCCTTGCGAAGTGACAATGTGGAGGATATCAGTAGGAATGTGGGCACACTGACAGAATGGATAAACAACTGGAGACCATCCCGGAGCTGAGCTGTTTCCTCTCTTCCTCTCTGGTAATGCTTATGCCTGGTGAAAAAATGTTTTTTTTTCTATGGTGAATTTTGAATATTGAGTTAGATCGTGCAGACATTGTAAGCCTTTTTACGTATGCATGCCCAACCTTGGATCTCAGCACGCAATACCTTGTGCTAAACGGGTTATGTGATGGGGGCATGCTGAATGTAAATTAGTAGTTTCATAGGGAATGTCTGGCTCCAGTTTGTTTCTCTATTTCAAACTGAAATGTTATGTGACATCATTACATGTTTGAACCTGCTAATGGGATGTACTTAAAGTGATTGGCAAAAGTGCTGATTTATTTTGCTGCTTGTAGGGGTATACAAGTCATCCGCATTCAGAAAAAAAACGTGTAACAGTCAAATAGTTTACATTTTATATTTTTGTTGCTTATAATAGGCGAAAGGTTAAAATGAGTATGATTGTATTCAGGGCTTTCTCTTCCGCTTCACAATACAAATACGGTCGGAAATTATCAGTGGCTAGTTCCGCCGTGTAAATGATAACTCTTGAATTCAGGGAATCAATGGTTACTCGGTTACCCCCTCAATTTCCCTCTTAGGGAAAAGTCCATTTTACACCCTCGAACTCTTATGTTTGTCTAAAATACACCCCCAAACTATAAAACCAGGTATAATACATCCTCCAATTGTTAATACCAGACATTTTACCCCTAGAGCGGTTTTAGACTAGTTTCGGGCGCCATGTCAGCATGGGTCCCACCGGTCAGACCATCTCCATCCACCTTTTTTCCCCTTTAGATAAGATTAAGCAAAAGAAACTGGCGAGCTCCCTCCCTCTGTCAGCTCCATCCTTAGCATCATCCCTCCACCCTCGGCGAGCCCCCCTCCCCGGGTGGTCCATCGACATCGATGACGAGGTGGGGGAGATTATGCGGTGAACGGTGGCACGGGATCTGATGGGGGTGGCGCCTGGAGCAGCGAGAGGCCGAGGAGGTCGCCGCCGCCTCCCACAGGAATCACGAGCTTGTTGCCCCGCGCGAAAGAGGCGGACCTCGCCGGAGCTACACGCGCGGGGAGGAGTCATCCCTATGGAGCACCGTCACCGGTTGGTCGAGGACGAGGTCGAGCTGAAGCTCCGCATCCGCCGCCGCCTCGTCGAGCTTGAGTTCCTTATCCCCAAGCCCCGTCACCTCCGCCGAACTCTGCATCCCCAAGCAGCGCAAGCTCCACCGGCGAGCTCAATTCCATGGAGAAGATGGAGCTCCTGGAGGCGGGAGCTGGGGAGCTCGAGCCCATGAGATCTGCGCCAGTGAGCTCAAACTCCATCTCCCAACCGCCTCCCCAAGTGCCTCCTCATCCATGCGCCGGTGAGCTCCTCTTCCCCTCCATGCGCTGGCGAGCTCGAGCTTCAGCTCCCCCACCTTCCCGAGTGCCTCCTCCTTCGTGTGCCAACAAGACCGAGCTCCGGCTCCCCGTTGTCTCCCCGAGCGTCATCGCCTCTGACAGAGCTCGTCGTAGCCGCTCCGAGCCGCTTCTTTCTAGGTCGCCGCCTCCGCCGGAGTACGCCGCCTCCACCTGCACACGCCGAGCACCATCGCCTCCCTGCACCGAGAGAGAGGGGAGAGTAGAGATCGAGAGAGGAACATCACCTTCTCCATGCGCCGAGATTGGACATATCGAGAAAGGAAGAAAGAAAAAAAGGAGGAAGGTTGACTGACAGATGGTACCACATTTTTTATATATACTTTTTTGCTGATTGGACTGCCATCTCAGTTACACGTGGGCCAAAACCGTCTAAAATATAAAAAAGATATAAATTGAACAGTTTTAATAGTTAGGGGGTGTTGGATACCCGGTTTTAGAGTTTGGGGGCGAATTTTACACAATGACAAGAGTTGAGGGGTGTAAAATGGACTTATCCCTTCTTCTTACTTACCATTCAAGACATGGTGCATGATCTGCAATAGATATTAGGGCATGTTCAAAGGTAGAGCTCAGTGTGGGCTCTCTCTGTACTCCACATCAGCAAAAAAAACTCCTACCTACAAAGTACTGTCTCTTTAACCAACTCTGTATTAATACAAGGTAATAAATAGCTAATAAATTCATTGCATGTAATCAAATGTAAATTTCAGCCATACATATATTTGTATTTCTTCCCTATAGAACTAACGCTACATTGTGTTAACATAACCATATAAAAGAAGATGATGTGCATCCTACCAGCACACACATCCGAAATTATTATTTAAGCAAATGATAAGCTAAATTACATTATTTCGTTACATAAAGTAGTTCTACTTTTTCCCAAAACGCTGCCATATATGTGCAACTAAATCTTTCTTGAGTTGCATATGTTTTGCACGATCACGAATAGATGAATTTCTTCGTAATACCGCAGCAAAGAAAGGGTTGGGGTCAGAGGAGTTCCTCACTTCAGGTGGCAGAACGAACGATGCTCCTGGGTTCTCATTTAAATCCAAAGGAATTTCAGCCATTTCCTGTTCATCTTCAACTATCATATTGTGAAGAATAACACAAGCTTCCATTATGTTGATAACGTCGCCCTGCCTCCACATCCGAGCTGGAGCGAGACTGCAACACACCGAAGGCTCGCTCAACATCCTTCCTTGTTCCTTCTTGCCGACCTGCATATAATTTATGTTCGTCTGTCTGAGGAAGCTGTATTGTCTTTACGAATGTCGCCCACTCTGGATAAATTCCATCGGCAGGATAGTACCCTGTGTTATATTGGTTCCCATTTACACTAAACTGTACACGAGGAGCTTCCCCTCTCAATGCTTCAATGAATAAGGGTGACTTGTTTAACACATTGATGTCATTATTGGATCCTGCAGTACCAAAAAAAGCATGCCATATGTGAAGGTCTTTCGATGCTACCGCTTCGAGAATCATGGTAGGAACTCCCTTGTCACCACGAGTAAATTGGCCGCGCCATGAGACCGGGCAATTTTTCCATGCCCAATGCATACAGTCTATGCTTCCTTACATGCCAGGAAAACCACATGACTCAGCAACCTGTAGCAATCTTTCAACCTCATCACTCCTAGGAGCTCGCAAGTACTCTTTGCGAAATATTTCAATGACTCCTTCAGTGAATTTTCCCAAACACTCCAAAGCTGTACTAGGACCAATCTTTAATTCCTCATCAAGTTGATCCGCAGGAGTTCCATATGCTAGCATATAAATAGCAGCCGTACACTTTTGAAGTGGTGAATGTCCTGCTCTACCAGTGGCATTCAATCTATTAGTAAAATAAGGAGACCATTCACTCAGGGCACTCACAATTCGTAGGAAGAGAGGCTTCCTCATCCGAAACCTCCTACGGAACATCTCATCTGTGTAGATTGGAGACTTGGAGAAGTAGTTGGCCACAAGATCCGCATTGCCAGCTTCACGGTTTCTTGGTACGTACCGTCTTGTACCACTTTGACATAGACGACGAGGTGGCTCAGATGTTATGTTCTCCTTCAGCCTGAGAATAATCTGTTCACTATATTCATCCAAAAAGGTTGCTTCGGCTATAAAGTCATCCATGCTGTATATATTCATAGGATGAAAGTTGTCAAGGTCCATGGCAGCATCATCGTCAAGGTCAAGGTCGACGGCGGCATCATCATCGAGGTTGAGGTCGATGTCGGCGTCGACGGCGGCATCATCGTCGAGGTCGACATCGACGGCAGCATCATCCTCGAGGTCGAGGTCGGCGTCATCGGCGGCATCATCGTTGAGGTCGAGGTCGACAACAGCATCATCCTCAAGGGCGAGGTCGGTGTCGACGGCGGCATCATCATCAAGGTTGACGTCAGAGCCAAGGTTGGAGTCGCCAATGTCGACATCAACATTGTCTTCGACGTCATCTGCTAGGTGGTTTATTGGGAGACATCGTATGGTCTGACAATGTAGAAGATTGGACTTGTTTGTTGGACTCAACACTGGTTCTATCGTTCTAATTTTAAACCACATGTATACAGATGTGCAGATAGCATGTTCACACAACAAAGGAAACAAAATCATCATTTATATTAAAATAGGAACATGTATCATTATTCGAGGCAAGGTAAAAGATATCAAAATCACATGGCAATGAATATCATGGTCCCAGGTGACATGTTCAGGTAGCAACAAAGTGAATTATTACATGTTCAGACAACTAGGAAGTAAATTATCCTTGCTTGGCAATGAGATCGACCGGTTACATGTGCAGCAGCAGAAGATCACATTGCATTCTTCCAATCGCACAGATGTGACCCACATTGAACAGATCTTCTAGATATTATTACCTGACATACTAAAAAAATAGATTCAGATACATAATTATAAATTTTCAGATTCAGCTTCAGTGAGATCATATATCAATATATACTATTCAAATTCAAAAGATAAACATGCCCAACAATCACAAATTTCAGATTGAATCACTGCTCATAAATTTCGGATTCTGATTTTAAAGTCAGAATTGGAGCTTTTTTTGTTGTCTGCCAAAGTGTCCACTTAGGCAATAATTTTGAAGACATGGACTCAATATTACTTCTACATAATAGGGAATAGAATAACAGTCCTATAGCAAGCTTAAAGAAACACTGCTCCATACAGCAAGCTATTGACATTATAGCCTATATTATCATTTCAGCAACTTGAAGAGATATCATCTTGAGCATGCCCACATTTCAGGTTCCATCAAATCATATATAATCAAATCACATTTCAGGTTACATCATATGTAGATTAATATGTAAACTAGGTCATAATCAATTAAATCATTTCCAGTAAATTATTAACTAACCTCAAGATAAGTCCAGAAACAAGATCTTCCTCAAACACCTTATGGCAGTGACATGCTCGGCTCTAATGTCATCAGCCATCCCTGTTGTGTCCTGTGCGAGTAGACGACTATAGGTCTCGAACATCTTGGCATCCTTATTGTTGGCAACGGTTTACGGCGCAAACCGACAAAGATGGACTAGAACTAGGGTAAAATAGAAAACATAGTAAAAGAACGATTCAAGTAAATTGTATTAGGGGGTTTTACAATGAACCGGCCTTGTCTCTTAATTAGGGGTTGGTCTTGCCCTCTACAGGCCCTTCTCCACGTCCAACTCGGGATAAAAACCAAAGGAAACACGAAACATGCCTTCCTGAGCAAGGAAACCCGAGACCCTACGAAAACAGACTCGGACTCGGGCCCTGCCGGTCTGACCGCCCACATACCTGCGGTCAGACCGGCCCTACTAGCCGGTCAGACCGCCCACACACCTATGGTCTGACCGGCCCTGTGAAGGAAACCCGTCACTTTCCAAACTTTGGCAATTTTCCCCTATTTC